CCCTCTACTCTCATCGTTGCACCAGGGAAGCAAGACACGACCGAGCAACGAAAACGTCCTTGATGCAATGCAATACAAACCCGGTGCGAGCTTTTTGAGTATGATCGAAGCCATCCACCAGAAACACTAGCATAGGCGCCCGCGTTCGATGATGTCATTCCGACCCAGGAAGCACGCTGTCGATAGCGTTGTGACCCCTTTCCCATTCACCTCTCGTAGTGTTGTCTTCTTCCAAGCAGCTTACATGGAACAGGACGGCAAAACAGAATCACATGATTTGTCCTGTCACCCGAGGAGTCGCGTTGTCAGGCACAACGGATTGCAATACTGAATCTCGCGGTGCAGCATCCTGGCTGCTGATCGGCGTCGCATGCTACTTGCCCATAGTCCCGCTGTATTGCATCCAATTCTCCGTTTTGAGCAATATACTTCTAGAAGGCTCAGTTCGGTCTGCGCGTTACAACCTCGCCGCTGCACGCATACATATGCACTCATAAGAGCGTTTGTACATCGTCCATGAAAGCTCTGATACTATAGGTAACCGAAGACATTTAAATTGATGAAAAACGCCACGGAAGGCAAAGCTCGATAGAATTCTTAAGTCCAAGGTCACAAACACGACAAGGCTATTCCCAATATAAGAGACAAACTCACCGGCAAGCGAACCTCCGGCTTCAAAATCGACTAGGTCATGGTTAGCTGCCATTTTACGTGGACCATGCTTTGGCACGTGGTGCCCGGGTCAAGATGGGCACATTAAATTGCACAGTAGCTGCAGGCCCGTTATTCCAGGTACTCGGTTTCCCATAGCTTTTGTATGTCTTTCCCGGCTTTAAATGTTCTGGAAGAGCTGGTTCACGTTACGGAAGCTTGACACAGTCCGTTTGCACCAATCAACATGCGGATCGGACACTTGGCGAGTGCGATCACAATATACCGCGGGGAAGATTAACTTTGGATGCAAGGCGATCTCGCGAGACGTCTCTCCGTGTCCGAAATGGTATAGCGTGGAAATGCTCATGAACCGAAAACGTACATATGTTTGCAATGCGCGTATATTGTGTATTATTGTACCCAAGCAAAAGCCTGTTCAACATGCTCTACAGTCTTGCCTGGCTCCTACTGCTGACTACTAGCACCTCGGCTGCAGTAGTGAGCAGAAAAGTACCTGCTGGCTTCGTCACAACCAAAGGCAATGTCTTCAAGCTAGATGGAAAAGACTTCTACTTCGCTGGCAGCAATGCCTACTACTTTCCCTTCAATGACGTCAGTGTAAATCGCCTCGACTTCGCTACACCTACTGACAATCAATAGCTTCAATCGGATGTAGAAGCTGGCCTCGGTGCAGCTAAGAAGGCAGGCTTGAATGTCTTCAGGACGTGGGGTTTCAACGACCGAAACAGGACAACTCTCGCAAACGGACTACCCCAGTACGGTGGTGAAGGTGCTGGCCCCAGTCCAAACGTCCTGCAATGGTGGAATAACGGCACACAAGAGATCAACCTAGAGCCGTTTGATAAAGTCGTCAAGGCTGCGGAAAAGACAGGAATGAAGCTTATCGTTGCTTTGACTAACAACTGGGCCGACTATGGTGGCATGGATGTATACACGATCAATCTGGGCTACAAGTACCATGACGATGTAAGTTAGGAAGTCTCAACGGGTTGATTGTGCACTGACATATCCTTCACTAGTTTTACCATGTTCCAGCCATAAAAAAGGCGTACAAGAAGTACGTAAAGGCAATCGTCAAGCGTTACGCGAAGTCCTCAGCTATCATGGCGTGGGAATTGGCGAATGAACCCAGATGCGGTGCCGATGGAGTGCGCAACCTACCCCGTAGTGAGAATTGCACTCCCGAGATAATCACGGAATGGATCGATGAGATGAGCACATACGTCAAGTCGCTTGACAAAGACCATCTCGTTACATGGGGTGGTGAGGGAGGTTTTAACAGACCCAGCGATGACGGCTTTTACAACGGATTCGATGGTGGAGACTATGACAAAGAATTGGCGCTCAAGAACGTCGATTTTGGTACCTTCCACACTTATCCCGATTGTACGTATATCCCTTCGAGGCGAAGCAGTATTTCTTCATGTTGCGCGCTCACTGACTACTATCAAAAACAGGGTGGTCAAAGAGCGTCGAGTGGGCTAACCAGTGGATCATCGATCACGCCTCAGCCTCTCGTACCGTCGGAAAGCCAGTGGTACATGAAGAGTACGGTTGGTTGACTGACGATAAAAGGCAAGAATATTTAAGCAAGACTTCGAATGTCACTAGACTCGAAGCCATTGGACTATGGCAAGCTACCAGTCTGAAGGAGAAGATGCCAGACATGTACTGGCAATTTGGTTATTCAGGCTTCTCGTACGGAAGGAATCACGACGACGGATTCACAATATACCTGGACGATGCTGAGGCTAAACAACTCGTTTACGAGCACGCGAAGAAGGTCAATGCTCTCAACAAGAAGTGAGACGTTCACTTGTCTGGTTTGTCTTACAACACCTTTAGAGCAAACATTCGCTGTTATATATATATACGCCCCAAGGTTTTCCTCTCAAAACCAACACCGTCTTATTTGGCACCTTGTCCGACATGAACGACTTCTTTGTCGATACTGATTCAGTCTATTATACAATCTTGACCCAGTATATAATCGCATTCTTTCACGTCCGTGTCACGTCACTTTCTCTTATAGACGACATTGTAAAGAACCTTGAGACGCAACACGAGACCGCTCTTTGACCACATCAAGGAGTGCTCAGCCCTGTATACTTTCACACTCTCTTCTGTTCAACAGTGCTGGGTGAATTTGCTTGCTTTTCCCTAAAAAACCAATTCAAACTTGACCCCCGGTCTAGTCACTTATTAACAAGCCCCGAAAAGCACCAGCTCGGTGGCTCAACCTTTTTATTGCACGATCATGTGCGGCTTTACTATAATCCATCACACAGTGTGTGGCCACAAGCATGTTTCTACCACTGTGGAGCATACGCTACTTTGCGGCTGGGCAACGGACAGAAATCTTCAACAAGGCATCGATTGTGCTCCGGCACCATGCAAGTTCTCGAACGATACTGCGACATGTATCGTGGCGACAAGTCGGCTTTTCAACCACTGCGAAGACTGCCGCGCCGAGCTCGACATCGAACCGCGAGGGGAAGACAAGGGTGTCCTCCAGAAGTACGCGCACGTCAAAAAAGATGCCGTAGGTCTGTATGACCAAGCTGAATATCAAGACTTGGAAAACCTCCGCAACTACCTAAGAGAAAGAGAGAAACGAGGGCTCAAGCTACAGGAGGAGTTCGATGCCTATGTTGACACTCAGCCCGGCGGTGTGCCGCATCCGCAATTACGAGACTTCTTCTCCCAGTTACAACCGGCCGGCTATCATGGGCTTTATTTAGACAAGCTCCGGGCTTGTATTCAATGGTTATCTGTACTAGAGCAGTTGGCGACACAAAAAGCGCCGAACAAACTCTTCACAGATACAGTGCTCTGGGTGTTTGGCCAAGCTGAAAGCGTTTCACTGGTGCTAGACCGCCTGAGTGATGTACTCGCTTGTCTTCGTCAGTTTGAGCCTTCAAAGCCGAAGACAACGCCTGAGAAAGCCGATCAGTCATCTCAAAAGATCAGCATCGAACTTAATGGTAGTGAGACACAAATAGATTACCTCGTCTATTTGTTGATACTACAGCATCGGGGATGTGGTCTGGGATTGACAAACCCGGACTTCGCACACTTCTTCAACCCCGATTTTCAGCCATCCTTCAACAGGCTCTTGACATTTCGCATCCGCGAGGCAGCGAGGCAGATCCGCATTGACAAGCCAATCCCGAGAAGCATACAAAAGCACAAACGGTACAAAGCCGGTACAATGAACATGCGAAACTTGGGATATAAACTTTACAAAGGGTTACTAGCAGATGAGCCGGCTTCCAATTGCAAGGCGGAGCATATCAAGATCCCATGCGTGGATCATGCTGAGCGTATTGACATTGAAGATGAGCATGGAAATAAACTTATTTGGGATGCAAACGGCACATCGAAACTCATGCTGGCAAGGTCTGCACCAGAACCTTTTCAGCCGATCGAACAGAATCAGGTTGAGGAGCAACCCGAGACACAGCAAGGAGGATATGGCTTTTCATACTCCAACTCTGACTCTGATACCGAACCCGAAGTCCGTAGAGCACCGGAGGAACCTGACCTGTCAATAGCAGGCGGAGTTCTGAATGCAAGAGTGGGTAGGACTGAGCAGCTAGAAGACCGAGCCACGGAGGACAGTGATGACTCTCCGGCGTTGGAACGAGAGCATGACGTGCCTTTCTCGCCGCAACGTACACGAGCACCTCTCTCGTTTGTTGATCCGAACCGGAAGATCAAGGCCCTACGTACGCGCCGATTGAAGGAAGATACGGTATCGCGTTCAGCCAGTCTGGAGGTTCATTTTACGGTAGCAGAAGACCATGCAAACGAAGATGGGTTATCCAACGGAAGTGGAACCGGTGCCAAGCGAAAGCATGAAGGCACACAGAATTCCAATGGTCGGACCGGTGGTTTCGACTTTACAGTAGCATCACCTAGCATGGACTCCTCGTCATCTCTTTCTAGTCTTTCGGGTCCAGCCTCGCCAGAGCTTCCATCGTCGCCACCGCCGAACAAACCCTCCAGATAGTGTTTCCATTCTTTTTCTATCGTGTGTACGTAGAGTAATAGATAATTCGGCCTTTCTTTTGGGTCAAGACGTGAAGTGCCTCGACAGAAGCATGAGATCAGTTTTGTTGAGATTAGCTGGCCAATTACACGAAGTAATTAAACAGAAATGCAAGGCTAAGAGAAAACACATATGCTTTTATGGGGTATCAAAACGTCCTACTACACCATCAAAGGACCAACTGTATGTATTAAGTGTGAGTCTGTATGCTCCACGTCGAGATGTGTACGTAAGAGCGGCTCGTAAAGGAGGCTTAGACTATCGCCAAAGGAGCTTATTCGGAGTCGTCGCCTGCGCTGTCGCTGCTCTTATCGCCGTTATCGTCACCGTCGTCTTCCGAGTCGGCTTGAACGTCGTCATCATCATCGTTGTCATCGTCGTCATTGTCATCGCCGCCTTCTTCTTCACTATCATCTTCGAGCACAACTTTCTGTTGTGGCACAGGTTTGGCTGCCGCCCGTCGGCTCGGTCGACCCGTAGCTGTGACCTCGCTCGCTTTGCCCCATGCGGCCTCACCCTCCTTGATAGCCTCGAGGTCCTTTGCAAACTCTCTCTGCTCCTTGATCTTAGCAGCCTTCTCAACAGAGTATTTGCCATCCATGCCCACGTCTTTCAGCCAGCCCTTTAGCACGCGGATCTTGTCTTTCGAGGTGTCGCACTGGGAGAGCTCAGGATCTCGCGACCAGACTTTGCGTATGCCACACTTGACGAGCCAGCCTTGAAGCCGCTTGACTTCAGCAGTGTCGGGGTCGTCTTCAGCCTTCGCTTTTGGCGCGGCTTTTGGCTTTGTGGGAGCCTTTTCCTTCTTGCCCTTGGCTGCAGGGGCTCTCTTCTTTCTCTTTGGCTCTTCATCTATGACGCTAGACAGCTCACTGTCGGATACGTCGCCTTTTGTGTCTGTCTTCTTCGCTGGCTCGGTTTTGGCGTCGCTGTCGTCCTCAGCAGTGGTGGGTTTCGAAGTTGGCTCTGGCGCATCCTCGTCGTCGGAGTCTTCTGCCACTACCTTGTTCCGTCGACGTATTGGCTTCTTAGTTGGTTCGCTCTCAGCGTCGGATATCTCGGCGGGCGGTTCTGAGAGTTCAGCCTCGGATTCTTCAGACTCTGTCTTCGCGCGCTTCTTGGGCTTCTTGGCAGGTGCCGCAGCCTTGCGCTTGACGCCTCGGGCGTTCTCGGTCACAGCCTTTGTCTTCTTTTCCGCGGGCTTTGCTTTGGGCTTCGGGGCGGCCTTTTTGGGGGTAGGCTCTGGCGAAGGCTCGTCGTTGCAGAATTTCTCCTAGACGGTCTTAGATGCTTGTTGGAAACATGGCCTGTTTGAATCATACCACTGCGTCGACGATTGTTTTCTGTGACTTTTCTTTCCAAGCCGAGTCCGTCTTGAAGAAGCCGTCGTCTAGGCCTAGCTCCTTCTCAGCGCGCGCTCGAACGCGCTTCACAGTCAGATCATCGCTCTTTCCAGATTTGTGTATGGCGATGACAATGTCGCGTAGTCTGTTGGTGATGGTCGCCTCTGAGGGCCTGTCTGCTTCCGAGTCCGACATGGTGCGCAGCGCGTTGGTGGTGTTGATGATCGACGGCCAGTACGCGATAGACGCGGCGACGGGCAACGGGCAATGGCGTCGGCGGTTAGGGCAGGCACGACTCCGGTAGCGCACACGTGACTCCGCGGAGACCACCCAATTGCGTCAAGTGGCATGAAAGGCTGCGGGGGATTTATCTAAGACAGCGACGGGTGATGTGCCAGTTCTGCATCAGATTCTCCATGCTATTCACATCAAGTGCATATGGATATCGGCAATGCGCATGTCCATAGTTAATGCTGGGCTCCGCCCTTTGGTACTGCGTTGGTCTGTGAGCGCCCCGCGTCCGTTGGGCAGCTCCACGACCGACGTCACATTTATCGCAAGTTTCACACGGACACCGCCAGCTTCATTCAGCATTTTCCAACATCGCCTACACCTGTCAGCGAACAAGCTGCATGCCGCCAGTCCCGACGCCCATTAGCCCCAAACTTCTCTAACTTTAGCATCTGCCCGGGCTGCAGCTGTGCCCTGTCTTGTGCCAACTCTGGACGCTTGAGCTCGGAACCTGCGAGAACCCACCTCCACCTTCGAGCGGGCCTTGATCTATTATCATTCTTTCGTCACCCAAGCACCACAATTAAAATCACTGATCCCTCCCCGCTCGCGCCAAAGGAACCATCCCACACCGCCTGCTCGCCGTCTGCAGACACGTTGCGGACGTGATTGCTGACCTCGCCAAATACCCCTACGCCGCAGATAAATTTCCCGCTTCACCAGGTGCACGACGCAACCACCCTCACCACCCCACTACCCGACCAAGACCCCGGCAATCACTACCAAAATGCCTGAGGAACCCACAAAACTCAAGCAGCCCGAGTCGTCCGAGGGGCGCCTGCTGCTCGTGTCAAATCGACTGCCCATTACCATCAAGCGCTCCGATGAGGGCAAGTACGACATGTCCATGTCCTCAGGAGGACTGGTCAGCGGTTTGAGTGGACTTTCCAAGACCACCACCTTCCAGTGGTATGGCTGGCCCGGACTCGAAGTCCCAGAGGACGAGACGCAGACCTTGAACGACCAGCTCAAGGAGAAGTACAACGCAGTACCCGTCATGCTCGACGATGAACTCGCGGATAGGCATTATAACGGCTTCTCGAGTGAGATCATCCAGACACATTCATGTTGTTGCCATTACTGACAGCATTGCAGACGAGATCATGTGGCCGCTCTTCCACTACCACCCTGGTGAGATTACCTTCGACGAGTCTGCTTGGGACGCATACACCGAGGCCAACCGCCTGTTCGCAAAGGCCGTCGCAAAGGATGTACAAGACAACGACATGGTATGGGTACACGACTACCACCTGATGCTCATGCCTGCTATGCTCCGTGAAGAGCTCGGCAACACCAAGCAAAATGTCAAGATTGGCTTCTTCCTGCACACACCCTTCCCCAGTTCCGAAATCTACCGAATCCTTCCTGTCCGTAACGAGATTCTACTCGGTGTTCTTCATTGCGACCTTATCGGTTTCCATACATACGATTATGCTCGTCACTTCCTGAGCAGTTGCTCGCGCATTCTGGGACTCGCGACAACACCAAACGGAGTCGAGTTCCAAGGCAAGGTCGTCACGGTCGGCGCATTCCCCATTGGTATTGATCCCGAGAAGTTCGACGAGGGTCTTCAGAAGCCCAAGGTACAAGAGCGGATAGCAGCCCTCGAGAAGAAGTTCCAAGGAGTGAAGCTCATTGTTGGTGTTGACCGTCTCGACTACATCAAGGGTGTACCGCAGAAGCTACACGCTCTCGAGGTCTTCCTTACCGAGCACCCCGAGTGGATCGGCAAGGTTGTGCTTGTTCAAGTCGCCGTTCCTTCTCGGCAAGATGTCGAGGAGTACCAGAACCTGCGCGCAGTCGTAAACGAGCTTGTCGGACGTATCAACGGCAAATTCGGCACCATCGAGTTCATGCCTATCCATTTCATGCACAAGTCAGTCTCCTTCGACGAGCTTATCGCGCTCTACGCTGTCTCAGATGTCTGCCTCGTATCATCAACACGCGATGGTATGAACCTGGTGTCCTACGAGTACATTGCGACGCAAGAGAAACGACATGGTGTCATGATCCTGTCAGAGTTCACGGGTGCTGCACAGAGTCTGAACGGCAGTCTTATTGTCAACCCATGGAACACCGAGGAGCTGGCAGATGCAATTCACGACGCAGTTACCATGGGCGATGAACAGCGCAGCCTCAACTACCAGAAGCTCTCAAAATACGTCCGTAAATACACTAGGTGAGTACCCATGATTGTATTGGGAGAACCGCAGTCTAACATTTTATAGTGCCTGGTGGGGAGAGTCGTTCGTCACAGAGCTTAGAAGGATCTCGGAGACCCCAGACCGCAAGGTGCACTTCGCCAATGTCACTGTTGCAGGCGCTGATGACGCGGCAAAGACCGCTGGTGAGACGAGCTCAGAGCTACCAATCCGTGAGGAAACCAGCAACAAGGACAAGGAGTCAGATCCTGCTGCTGCTGTCTAGGCTCATGAGACTAGCTGTGGCGCACAGACCCAATAGGTCTTGTACCCTTGGGCGGCACTCCTGATGTTTACGATGAACGATTTCATGTGACGGAAGTTCGGCGTGATGGATGTCTTTGGGTTAGACGATTGATGATGGATTCTTTCCTGAAAGTACCCCCTCAATTACTAGATCTTCTTACCTAGAAGCTGTAGTGAATACATCACTGCAGCAACAAAATATACCCCTTCTAAAGACGTGCTTTCTTTTGCAAGTTTTGCGCCATCTCGACTGTATCCAACGTGTATGTGAGTTATAACCTTCGTGAGGAGTAACCAAGCTGTCGATGATACGACGTTTTTTCGACAAGCGCGACGACTTGGCTACTCTTCACTTTCCTGTGTAGGCTCTGCGCCTTTCAGGTGAAGGGAGGGCTCTTTCCCCCACTCAGTTCTGTTTACTTCTTGATCTACTGTATCCGCCTTTCTCTACCGATTTCCCATAACAAACATCGGTCAACTTCAACATCTTCGCAATGGTACTACTCAGTATTGCCATCACCCTCACCGGTTTCGCCACGATGGTGCTCGGCTCCACCGTATCTCAGGACATGCTCCACGGGGTTCACGAGTGCACCGAGTACAACAGAGGCGTAACTGTCTGTTCGCCCTACACCAATGAGATCTACCAGTGCAATGAAGACGGCTGGGACTGGGTTACCACCTGTTATGACAGCAGATCACCCTGCAGTAATGGTGCCTGTGTCCTTTCGCCCACTGCAATCAAGAGCCGAGAGGCCGAGTGCGACGACGGCCAAAAGCGATGCCTGACTTTCTACGACCGCGGCCACGACGGCATCCAAATCTGCAAGAACGGAAAGTGGGAGCTTCTCGATCCATGCCGCTGCAACAGGGATCCTGAACCTCAATGCATGCCCATCGTCTCTCGCGACATGACCAAACCGCACCAGTGTATCGAGGGCGAACCGAAGTGCATGCTCCGCAACGAGGATGGAAACGGAGGCACACTCTTCAGATGCGAAAACGGGTTCTGGAAAATGCATATGCAATGTCGACCATCGGAACGCTGTCATGACGACCCAGGGTTCTCTACATGTTCGTGGCTGGATGCTGCTGCCGTTGCCGACGACCATGACAAAGTCACCACTCTTGCTGGAAGGGACGATAATCCTGCACACACACCTCCAGAGTTTCACTGCTGCGTCGAGGGCGAAAAGTATTGCGGCATCATTAATAGACGCAATGGCTCTATAACTGCTGTCTTCCTGTACGAGAATGGCACTTTCAAGACCTTGAAGGAATGTCGATACTCCCGTTGCATTGAGGATACGCGGGGTCCTCACTGCTAGATCTGTTATACTGTGGAATGTTCCATCGATAGGCTAGCGGGGGCTATTCATAGTGACTAAGGAGGCTTCAGACTTGTTCGACCGGTGGACATACGGGGTGGGGGTTCGAGTGTCTACACAGTCAGGTGAGATGTATTCTCGTCATGTCTAATGAAAACAAACACAGTTGTTATCCATGCATAGCTAGTCTTTTGTAGCAGAACAATCGAGTACTTTTTCCATTGCATCTGACACATTCTTCAATAGTGACTGTAAATGAGCAGTTTAGGTTTTCACATGATCGATATCTCGCTGCACGTGGAATACACGTTGTCATGGTCGACACTCGACTTTTCGCTATTCCTTACATCTGTTCAAACGCCATGCTATTCACCTTTCTCACGCTTCCTACTTCTCCTGAACTCCGCTTACTACTCAATTCTAACGACTCACACTACAAATTGGCCAACAGATACCTCAATCCAGCCCACATCTCCTCACCACTAGGCAAAATCTGCGCAGCTGGCAAGACAAATCCGTAGTTACCAGTATCCCTCAACTCAACCGTCATCGAGTAGTTTGCCTTGGCAACCTCAAAGGCATAGTCCACACTGTCGCCGCTGACCTGGTAGATAGTCTGGCAGATGGGACCACCAGTAAATGTTGTTCCGTGCACTGCTTTGACGGCGGCGATGGCGCCGCTGGTAAGGGAGGCGTATTTTGCAGAGTTGGGGAGGGTACCAGAGCAGGTGTAGCCGTAAGGGTACATCCAGAGCTGGCTGTAAGAGTGAATGTCCATGTACAGCGAGATTCCCTTGCCGGCAGCTACGCTGTCGAGCTGGGCCTTGAGCAGTTTAGTCTCTACACCGTCGCCGGCGGAAGGGCCTTTGTAGTCCTGTGCACAAGGGTCGGTTGATGCGCCGCCACGCTGGTCCCAGTGAGATGGCCAGTTACCTGAGATAAGGTCATGATGTTAGCGTATATCATTCCACATGTATATCGTAGGTGTAAAGGGTGTGCTCACGGTTGATGTCACGGCCGACGCAAGACGCTCCGGAAGTCTTCTGGCGGTTCTTGCGCCACATGCGGTCAGACGATTGGGTGTATGCGAAGCCATCTGGGTTCACAATGGGGAAGATGTAGAAGTCGTATGAGTTTTTGAATCCGGCTGTGGTGGAGTCGGTGGATGTGAGAAGCTGGTACGCAGCGTATTCGACAACCTAGAAGTATTAGTATGGCGGTGAACATTTCTCATTGGGTTGGTAGTACCATCGTCGTGATCCACTCTCGTGCGTGCACTGTACCATGCCAGACTACGCCTCGCTTCGACCCTTTACCACCGCTACCCCAGATGTGGATACCTTTAATGTCTCGGCCCTCAACCGACTTGCCAGCAGAGATTACTTCAGCGTTGTTTGGGTATGCAGCTGCGAGATCCGTAATCCATTGCATGTGGTCGGCAATGGAATGGTACGAGTTGAACCACGTAGCACTTGGTGCAGCGCCGGCTGGTATTCAATGTTAGCGCCATGTTCACATGATGCCGCTTTGTAGAGCAAATGTACTGAAGAGCGCATCTTTCAGAGTTTTGCCCCACCCATACTACAACCCAAAGGTATGCAGAGTGTTCTGTGTTAGAAATCTACAAGGAAAGGAATGACGTATATGTTCAGAGGGGGGGCTAGGTTTTAGGGTACAGATTAATTGAAACGGTCTTTCACGTACCAGCATACACGCTAAAGGTTTCCTCGTCTGCAATAGAGAGACCAAGGTTGTCATGCATGACCTTGGTTTCGATGTCTTCCGTAGATGCTTCAAAGTCCTTCACGGCTGTAGGAGGCACCATGACGTCGACGACGTCACTGGATGCTGGCTTTCCCTTCCATAGCTCCAATTGAAGCTTGCTCATTACATTGTCGAGTTTGGCAGCGTTGGAGCCAACGTTGACGCGGTATACTTTCCAGTCGTCGTAGCTGACCTTTTTTGTAACTGAAGCCGCGGATGCAAGGCCTAGAGAGGCCAGAGTGACGTTGAGGAGCTTCATCGCCGCAAGTGATGGCAGTACCGGTGAATGAGAAGCGTAAGAAATTATTTTGAGTAAGGGTAGCACCTATGTTATATAGTTGCAAAGCATCTCATATTGCGTAGCCATGCGACAAACACATTTTGATCCAGTAACGGCACCCCCGCAGCCCACCTGCCAAACTGGCTTTAATCTCCCACGGGGCAGATCCTCACCAAGGAAGCTGTTCCCATTACAGTGGTACAATCTGTATGTCAGCTTGGCATTTAATATCCCAAGACTACGATAAGCTCGAAGGCGACAGAAGCATTATGCGCCTAGCCGGTGATCTGCAGGGGGACCAAACAGCCGTAGCCAACGAACTGCCTAAACCAGTAGGAACATGAAAGCCTAGATTTGCCATCAACGAATGGTCACGCGTCGGTGTTTTTGTGTTTGTCTCTATCTCGATTTTAGTGGAGTGCTAGCGACGGGGTCGGTGCGAATCTGGGGTTGTGTAAAGTACGACCTTCCGCATCTGCTTTGGAGGAGCCGGGAGTAGCCGTTTAGTGTCAAGCAGACCATGGGCGATCTTTGAGTGTTGCAAGCGAGGATAAAAATCGCCTTTGGGGATGCTAAGACCTGAAGCTTGTAGGGCAACGGTCATTGGTCTTGTGCCTTGGTGTAAGGTACGATTGTCATGAATTTGGCTGCGTTTCGCTGGACGCTGTCTGGTGGTCACCGTGGTACCATGATTGTTAGTGGAGCCTGATGACTGTGAGATTTTACTGTTCGAGCGGTTGATGGTGAAAGCGATCGGCTGTCCGTCTTTGATGAATGTTTGGTTAACATGTCATCGTGTCACAAGGCCAAGGGAAGGCGACAGGAGGCTCGGCGCGCTGAAGCTTTCCAAGTCGGCTGCGGCGCAAGCACGTGCACATGGTCTCTTGGCAGTACACATGAAAGGCAATCTTCATCCATTACATCTACGATCTCAGAAACATATGAAATATCTGCTCTTGTCACTTCCTTGTCCAAGCTCCACAGCGGAGGGTTACAAAATTGTATCAGCAAGGCGCGCATGTTCTTATTAACTCTAGAGAGCCTATCACGTAGACCGACCGAGGATATGACGAATTGCGTGAACCACACCAAGTTCCGATATAAGCATTCTTTCAAAGGACGAATCATAAATACATATGAAGAGTCACAACGTTGTAGAGCTACCTCAAGAGCCAAATTTGACCTTAGTCCGATGTGACTCGGCACCACGATTCTGCCATACAAAACTTCACATACCTCCCACAACATATGCTCCACAAAACGACTTCCACGCCGTACTATTACCAGAACCTGTGAATGCTGTCAAAGATTGTCTAATCGGCGTTCTCATACCCTTCTTAATCACTTTCACGGTCGTCCTTGCTAGATCCGAGCACACTGGATGCGGTTTCCACACCTATTGCCCTTTGGTGGTAGTGCTCGCGTGGACAAACTGGCACGAACGCTTTGTTCCTTGGCTTATGGAAGCAGGACTAGACGATGAATACGAGATGACCTTTCGACACACTGTCCGACAGTACATGACGTCCCAGACTGTTCGGACCGTAGTGTGCTTCGCAACGTTGCTCGCAATATTTGTGCCGCAATGCTAGCCCAGGCCCTCGGTTC